GTGTGCTCTTCCGATCTCCCCAAAACCCCAAAACCCCGCAAGCTTAATATAAATCAATTTGAGAAGGCAAATATGAAAATTTAGAAATTAATAAATATAAGGATATCCAATAGATCTATTTAAAACTTCTATTCTATAAAATTAATGTCTTAAGTCATCAAAATTATCTCTAAAGTTAAGTCGAGTAAAGAACCTAGTTGGGCTCCTTTAAACTCTTTTTATCCCCGTACTTTGAGAAATCTCCAGCTCCACCAGCTCTTTTTTGTAATTTTACCTTGAAATGCTCCTCTACTCTCCATCTTTCGGGTGATAAGGAGCTTGTCTTGTCGTCATAAAGTAATGATTTATTGGCGTTATCTAACTCAGATGTTATAGGTTTAGAACTCTAGGCTAGAAACTAACCTGCTCTAAAGAAAACATCACCTCCTGTACCCATTTTCGACTTAATCTTTTGGACTAGTTCAACAGCCTTTTTAACTAATATTTCATACTCTTTATCAGTATATTTATACTTCTCCTATTCCAATTGCTAAATGATCTACTGCTTAACCATTTCTATGATCTAAGACATAAAAGTCTCATTTTCTGTCTATAATCCTAAGCTTGTTGTTGATACTAGTTTCTTATGACTTACTGAAATTTGACTCTTTATTGAAGGGTATTATTAATTTGGATACTAAATAGTTTGGCCATTTTAATCTTTCAAGTTAAAATATTTCATCAATGAGTTGTTACTCTTACCATCATTAAGGTTATTCATATATTTGGCCTCCATGTCAGTTGTTATTGAAGATTCTTAATCATTCTAGTATCCATTGTAATTTGCATTTCTGCCATCATCAATTTCCAATGTAGAGGTATACTCTTAAAAGTGAGCTGTCCTCTTCTAATCATTTTATTAATGTCTTTACTATGAATTATTCTATAGCTTTTACATCATTTTAAGGTTTCTGTCCATTTACTTCAATCCACCAGGAACAATATTCTTTGGGTTCAATAAATTCTACTACTAGCCAATATTATTTTAGAGGTCCAAATAAGGATTTGAATTTTCTTGATTTTTCATCTTGATCTCTTGATTTTCCTGCTACTAATGCGAGTAGTTGCTTTTTATCTCCTTCTTAGAGCTTAATTTAATATCTTTATCACTGGAAATGTTTTTGATTACCTCTCTAGACTTACTCTAAGGATCTTTATACATACTTTATTGGTTATTTTAATTCTTAGCTGGAGATTTGAGATTTTTGAGATTTTATTATGATTCAGTATTAGCTTAATTTGTTGTTTAAGGTGCATTGCTGTCCAAGTTTATATTATTAACCTTTTGATTAGTTAAGTTTATATGAGGAGCAAACTTAGATTGGTTTTTCTAAGCTATTACATCATTTTGATTGACTTTCTAATTTTGCTACTAAACGGTTATCTTCATATCTCTAGGGGAACTTTGCATGCTAATAGGGAGACTAGATTGAGCATCAGGGGCATTGGTCTGATTTTTGCTAGTAAGATAGCCATTATTAAGGTAATTGACTCCAGCTGAATTTTACTTTAAATGCTTGAACTAACTATCCTGCCTTTGTATTTCTGAAATATCTTTGTTTAGTTGACTCTTAAAATCTTGCAATCCAGAAAAGCCAGCTGAATTGTCCTAGTCAGATTATCTTGGAGATTTTTTATTTTCACCAAGAGTACCAACGTTATCTCTTAGACTTTACAGTTAGCTATTGCTGTATTAACTCAATTATCGATTCATAGCTTAGCCAATTTTGCTTCTATCTAGTTCAGAGAACTAGTTTTTACGGGAGGATGGCTCGATGGATTACTGATCAGCTTTGGATAGAGGTCCTCTGGACTCATTTACACTTGTTTATTTCTTTTGATTGACTTGCATGACACCAATAAATCTGCTCTTAATGGACATACTCTTGCTATTATTGCCCAATGAAGGTAGATCCTAATCATCAGCATGCTTCATTGAGCCTGTTTTATCCAATTTATATTCTCTTTCACTGTCATTATGCACCCTATCATACTCTTCATATTTATTTCTTATAGAATTTAATCTACTTTCCAGTTCTTCTTTTTCTCGAACCTCTTTCTCAAGTTCATCTATCTTCTTTTTAAAGATCATTATTTCCTTTTTCTGTCCTTCTATCTCGTCTAAAAATTTCTATTTTTCTCCTTTGATTGCTGAGTTCTCTACATACATCACATCGTATTATTATCTCAGCTATTTCTCCATCAATTTCTTTTAATCTGTTATATTGTTGATTTGATCTTGCAATTAATCTACTTAAATCACTAGCTAAATTCTCTCATGTCTTAAGTTATCGTATTTTATAGTGAGTTCCTCTAGTTCATGAGTTTAATTGTAATTTAACTCCTCCATAGTCCACGCTTAACATCCAGCATGCTATGTCTAGGTTTGCTTCAAAAATCTAGCAAGTATCTTTTTGGCTGTTGTATTCTAGACATTCTTGATCTGATTGTTGATCGAAGATTCTATTTCAGAAACAACTTTTTCTCTTTCTTCCAAATTATTCTCATCGTCATCATCTTCATTCAAACCCATAAATTCCAAGAACTTTGCAGCATCCTTGTGACCTTTCATTGACTTTTTAATTTTTTAGAGCGCCTAACTAACTCCACTAAATCTGCTTCTATCAAAAGCGATATCTCTCTCAGTTTAATCCTCGTCCCATTCTTTTGAAAGGGGATCTTATCTTAAGAAATCATCTATTTATTAAACAAATTTTTTCCTTTAGTCATTAGGATCTCCATTTTCCATTGTCTTTAAAAAATAGGCTTCAATTGACTGAGTTTCTCTGTATTTCTCAAAGTTACTAGTCAAGGACTGGATTTATGTATTGAGTTCATCAATGGTTGAATTATTGAGTTTCATCTAAGTTTGGAAAAGCTTTTACATATTTCTGAAAGAGTTTTCAAAACCTTATTTTATTCTATCTATGAGTTCCTTTTCTTTTTGATAATACTTGTTAGACACTTTGCTTAATAGAATTTCAATCGCATCGGTGTAAATTTTAAGACTATTTTGAATGGACCACACATGACTTTGGAAATCTTAACTTGGCTTTCTATTTTTAAGTTCCATCTCAGATTCGTCTAAAAATTCTTAAATCTTAATAAAATCTCGCTTATGTAAAAAAACCTGAAATCCTTGTTGCTAGGTTTACTATTAATTTAAATTAGTACTGTAGTTAATAGTACTACCGTAGCCCATTTATGTTTAACTGGGAACAGCTGTCAAATCTTATAGAATTTATCTCTATAGATTTTAGCTCAATTCATTCTTATGCTTATTGGATAAGAGCTATGTAGATGGCATCTCACTATGTGTCTAGTCATTCTATTCGTGGACGCTATTATGATCAGTGTTTAAAAAAGTTGACTATTATAACTTAGTCAATGCAATAGGAGATTAAGACTAATCCATCATACTCTTAAGTTAGTTTTACTTAGATGATTTATGTTTCTTCTTTTTTATGAAGTTCAAAGGTCTATCGGGGTCCATGACAATCATATTAGGAATGATCTTTAGATTAGCATTTATGAAATCTTAGTTATGAGTCTAATTGATACTGTAAAAAACCTCGGCATCTTTATCGAAAGTAAAGTTCTTATCACCAAACTTAAGATTCGGGATTTCATAATTGATTTGCTTTTCCACTGATCCCCTTACATTTTAACTATTTCTCTGCTCTACTACGTTTCGAGTATCGTTTTAACCCTGCTTTTGATTGAAAGGAGACAAAAAAGCAATGCCTTTGCTAGTAAATTTTTCATACTAACCTAGAGCTGACTTGGATTATTTGTACCGGTTGTCATAACTTTTAGAATTAATTTACTACTACTGCTGTTGAATTTGAGACTTCATATCTGCACTTTGATTCATATTCGCTTTTCTATTTGTGCCCTTCTATTAGTCCTTCTCAATCTTTGGAAATCTGTAGAATTTCTTATCTGGGACAGAGTGATAGTTGGAATCGAAATTTGAGTTCTCTATAACACTTTGATTCAACTACATCGATTGATTTTGCTGCATTATCTATTCAAGTCTTTGCTTAACCTTCATTTTAGAGTTGTTTTTGTTAAAATGTGGTGAATATTTCTGAGTGGCCCCTGGATTGACTTATTCGATTTCATGACCACTCATTGAATGCTGCCTTATCTGATAGTAATTGTCGCTCTAGTTGATTTACGCCTGCAATTATTTTAGTTGTTGTTTGTGATCCATTAAATAAATTATACTTAAATCCTTAAAGAAATAAAAGGTAATCTTAATGTTTTACTTTTTTAAATATATAAAATACTGTATCTATCATAAATTATAAGTCATTGATTTGCTCATTATATACTAATATCCCCATCCATTCATAATTTTACTTTGAGATTGCTTTGTCTTCGGGAGAGATTATCAGTCATTGGCTAGGAGGCTGAGTGATTCTTGATGGAAGCTTTGCTCGATATATTCAAACTACCAATGATTCCTGACATACTAGACCCCTGTTTAGTGGGAACTTAATTTGACTTAATAGCTTTCATCTAAGCATCCAAATATTTTGACTATGTTTGAGCGGGGTTTGAATGAGTGTGGTGCTGCTTTGATATATTGGCATTATTGTTAATCAATGGATGGAACTTAGAAATTATCTATGATACTGCAGACACAAATTCTCTCTTTGATTGAACAAACAACAATTTATCTTTAACCACATTAATTTCTTAGAAAATCTCAATTAACTACATCTCATCCTCAACTTTCATAATGCTAATATTTTGACTAGCTTAGGCATGATGCAGCTAAGAAATCAATTTAGAATAAACTTCTTTAAAGCTGTTGAAATTAATAGTTTATGACTTCATCTTATCCATTTCTGAATCGCCATAGATCTAGTCAAGCTTATCAAATATTATCAAAGTCTCATTCTTAATGAGAGACTATATTCTGCAGAACATAATTCGCAATAGCAAATCCTGACTAAATGTAACCTTATTTCCCAGATTATTTCTGAACAAAGCATCAATTGAACTCAGCTATATCTCAATATCTTGGATATTCTGGATTACATACTATGTTAATATAGTTAACAAAAAGGGGGACAGTAGCTCTCCCATCAACCTTTTCAGAATATCACCTATCTATTCTACGTAAATGTAGCCCTGCTTATTTAAATCATTTTCTTCAAACACCTACTTTAGCTTTTTAAAGAATATCAACTCTTGATCCTTAACCACCACCGATATGATAAGCTTTGCAAGCTCTTAAAACAGCTGTTATGCGGTGATTATGCTCTGTATTTTTTGCTTCTATAATTTTTGTTTCTTCGCCATTTCGTTACTCTGGGCAGTAGGCTACCCTAGATGTATAACTGTTGTGATTTGCTTTCTAATGGGCTACCCAAATAACTGCTAGGCTTCTGAAGAGTTTTCAATTGCCATATTAATATCATTCTTATCTGGGTATAGTGCATCTTGCAGATAATCTTTTGCCTTTTATAGGATGCGTTTGTATCCCTTATAATCCCACAGCTGTATTTCAGAGATCTCATTCCTAAGCAATTGAAAGATGAGCAGTTTCTGTATGATATCATATCTATCAAGTTTGAACTCAGATTCTACCAGATTGGGATATACCAATCTTACTCTGCTAAGATACCTGATTGCTTCTTGAATATCATATTGGTAAGTAAATGTCTAGCTCTAGTCGAGCAGACCGAGAATAATGAATTGAATTTTGGGGTAAAAATAATAACTATACTTTTTCTTCGCCCCTATTAGCATGTGATGGAGTTGCTGGATTAATGAGCGCTTTTTGGAACAGTCTCTCATATATGTACAAAGCTGAGTCAAGATTTAATCCTGATACTTGTATTCCTGGTGAAAATGCTTTAGAAGATACTCTAGATAATTACTTATCTTATGATTATTATGACTATTGCTTGAGCTTACTTATTATACATCACTTAGATATTTTTATTGCATCATGAATAAAACTTGGGAATCAATTTCTTTATCAAGTTTATCTGAGGTTTTATTTAAGCTTGAATAAGTATCAAGCAGCAACTTAACTTCTATTTGTTTTGTCAATGGCTTTAAAAATCTTAACTCATTTTATAGTTTTATACTAATAGTCATATTTTACTCGTTAATTTCCCCAGTTTAAGTCGATGCATTCTATATCCTTGCATCTTTATCCTATTAAAGTTGATAAGGGATTCTTGTAAAATTAACATACCTATTTAAGTGTTTTAAAATCCATAAGTTTAGATAGATTCGCTAGACCCTATACAAATAGCTATTTTGAAGTCTGTTAAGCATCAAGGAATACATCTAGGTTATTACTCAGATCCTCTAAGTCTTACATTTCATTGCCAAGCTTTAATGATTTGAACTTTTCTATATTGCATTTATTATATTGTAAAAATTACTCATCTCATCGCTTCTAGTTCCGATCTCAAGCTCCAAAGCATTAATTTTATTCTAAAGCTCTTTTATCTGCTACTTATATTCATATTATTGCTCAATCTAAGACTCTTGATATTTTTCGAACTTGGTTCTTTGCTTTTATAGCTTCTTTTCTAAGTACTGCTGCATTCTTGTGACTCTATCTTCAGCGTCTTCTTATTTATGCTTGATACTCTAATCTTTGGTTGTTATTATCCGATCCATGAAGAACATCATATTGTTAAAGATAGAGTTGATATCAACTAGAGTTTCTATTATCTTGACATTGGCACCTTTGATTCTCATGATATTTCTGATGTTTTGTCTCAATTAAGCATATTATTACACCATTATTTCAATTTATTTGTCTTTATTAGACATGAGCTCACCCAAGAAGCTTATCTTTGAAAATATATCAATACTTTGCTCTATCTGTATGTCAATCAAGTTTAGTTCATGATCGTTCACGATTTCATTGATAAATTCGTAATTCACGGCTAGAGTTCAACTTAAGGGTCAGAAGTAATTTAGTTTACTAATGATTATTTGATGGATGTGATTGTATCCCTTGATATCCTAGAGTATACCTCTTTGTTCTATCATAGTGAAATCCTCTTTCTTTGGTCTGAAAGTCTTCAAACTAGTTGTCTAAATTGTATTCTCTTCATAGTCTTAAAGCTGCTTGTACTCTGATCTGACTCGGTGAGAAAAATTATTCATTGATATAGAGCGATTCAATCTTGTCTGCTTTGATCGATTGGATAGATGATCTTTTATCCTCTAAGTTTAAATCATTGTATTCTAAATCTCTTTTGCTGTTTGATCATTGTTAGAAATATCTGTTTTTTTAATAGCAAGGCCGTTCATATCCTTTATTATCCTCTTTAGAGTTGTCTTATTGCCTGAATAATGCCTCTAGTGTTTAGTAGCAAACTCTGATAAGTCAAAGTTCTGGGTTGTGGTTTTACTCATTAAAGATTACATCTTCTGTTCCATTAAGTGAATCTGTATAATCTGTTAAGTCAATAATTTTTTATTTCTTTATCATTCTTGCTTTATCCTATGTTAGAAAAGCGGGGTTTTGGGGTTTTGGGGTTTTGGGG